AAAAGTACATACTTATGATATACTACACTTTTATAATATAATTCTGATAATACACATAAGAGGAAGATTATAAGAAATTTAAACGTGAAATTTATACGTGTATATTTAAATTACATTACAAAAAGTAAAGTAATATAAGAAATAGAAACTGAGAAATCATCTGTATAATGAAACAGGCAACAATTGGCTTGGTATTATTGGGATATCGTTTATCTTTCAAACTCCGTTTGATGGAAAGTTCTTGTTCTAGTTTCTTTAAAGCGATCAGAGTTTGAGGAAATATGCGTAACTGCGGGATTACGTTCTGCCGCGACAAGATGATAACGACGCTTAATTGCATAAAGCAATATAGAGAGATAATAAAAGTGTTCTCTAGAAGAAAGAGAGGAGGAAACGGGAGCACGCTTGGGCGGACGCTTTCCTTTATCGCTCGCCACTCAACGCAATTTTCTTGTCAGCAAATTTCCCCTTATCTCTCTCTTTAAACGACAGCAACGTTTCTAACTAGCTCGAAGTTTTCTGCGGTTATTTAGATGCCAATTATAATAATCGGAAAATATTTCCCTTCCCAAGGGGCTGTCATCAGACTGCTGCGGTTCTCGTCAATATCCGAGATCGGGGAGTTCTCTCCTTGAATTTACACCGATTTCAATCATAAAATTGTCATTGTAACTCCGCTCAAGTTCAAGATTTTCTTTATTTCATATTTTTAAGGGAAAAGGAATCAAATATTTTTTAAATATGCATTTTTGTTAAGTGAGTGAAGCGTGCATTGCATACATCAAATAAAATTGCATACGTATAAATTGATGCGGAATTCAATCAAACCAAAAAAAAAAAATAACATCGAATTATTGAAATAATTTTCATCGTGCCGAAAATTAAAATTGTTTGATAACACATTTTATTCAAAACGTTATAACGTGCGCCGAGTTAATAAAATTAGTTTGGGGAGAGAATTGTTATATAATTAATCGAGTAAGCAACAAAGGCTTTAACATTGTGAAGAAATAGATTTTCGGCGAAGTTTGTTTGATTATTTCAATTTTAGTCAAGGCGGAGTTTGAAATTCTCAGAGAATTCCGAATAGATGCTTGGAAGACTCAGACGAGGAGAAACCCAGGGCTCAAAGCTTTTTAGAGAAAAGTGTAGTAGACCAGGTTCTTTTGTCTCTCCTATGTCAAGTCTCATTTCATCTGCCGCGACTGTTTTAGCAAGGCGACCGCTATAAAGCGAGAGAGAAACGATTTTCCTTCGTGAAAAATTTAACGTGCTGTTCTACAGATCGCAATATGAATATTATGAAAATTTAGTCGCGATGGGTGAGAGAAATATTACCTGTAAATAAAAACTTGTAAGGTCAGAGAATTTGTCAGATAATGAAAACGAGCTCCATTAAGCCGTTTCCACGTAATATATGCCGTTTTATAGATATATATAATTTAATAGCAAACTGTGTGTTAGCCTATAATTACATATACGGAATTACAAATACGAGTACAAATGCGACGGTTGCACGCGAGTTCTACCGCGAGGAATTTAATATTTAATCTTCAAGCCTTTGTTTTCACAGTAATGTCCAACGCAAAAGATCACCGTTGCCACCAGCGTTCCATTATTTCCAGTTTCCATTATTACGATTTGTCCAAATTAAATAATGCGCAGCGAGCTGTGTCGCGTATAATCATTAGCAACGGCAGGCTTGTTCTCAATTACTTATCAAGCTCTCCATTAATGTGACTATAAAATGTGTAATGTCAATGATGAATGCGTGGGCGCCGACGAACCTTGTCGATACAATCTGAAATTTATTAATCGGCGAGCAGCCGATATTTATTAGACCCCCCCTCCTCCCCTCCCCCTGTTCGCAGCTCCTTTATATAAATCCATCGAGTCGAAGGAACACCGGGGATCTTTTACGGTCCACTTTGGCCTTTCAATAAACGGGCCACGGCGGGAAAACGTGACGAGAGATTTTCCGAGTGAGTTTTATGTCAGTGAGTATCGATTCCGCGGCGGCACGTGGACGTATTCGTAAACTCATTCGAATTCGTCATTTCATCATCAGTCATCGTGACACGTGGTTTAACGATATTTAACCTCTCTGACACGCCGACGTGCGCAAAGAAAATACTACGGTAGTAAATTACAAATAAAAAACAAATTGTTCTTTACAATATTTTATCGTAAACATAAACGATATATATTACATTTATTACTAAAATTACCGTGACAATGATTATATATATATATATGTATAAAATATGTATCCTTTCCATCGCTCATCATAAAAACAATAATATATGTTGTAAACAGTCATACAAGCGTTTTTCAATCTATACTATAGAAAAGTGTGAAAAATTAACAATTTTATTGTTCTAAATAAATTCTTTATTCTGCAATTGCAATTTTTTTACTAAAATAGCAAAATATGCAATTCGTATATAAAAACAGAGTTGTTTTTTTAATGAGATTTGTTTAAAATTTATATATTAAAATATTTGAATGATTACAATTATTCCTTTATAAAATATAAAACGTATAAAATATCTTTGAATAAAAATATTTAACTTCCGCCGTAATGTCTCTTTTCCCCAGTTCATTACAAGATAATAGAAATTTTATTTTTTTGTAATTATTATAACATTTTTTCCATATTGCAAATTCTACAAAGGTTTCTACATTGCAAAATGTTTTAGTATTACCTTTTATTTCTTAATTATATATTTTATAGTTGGCTACACAAATATTTTCCTCTTTTCTTTGTTTATTCCAAGTTTCTCTTCGTTTACGGAATCGTATGAAATCTTCTTTTGTCCTTAAAAAGTTACAAAAGATATGCTATATTTGAATATTTAAGAGAAAGCGCTTTATGCTTCAGAAATAATCTTTTTCTTTTTGTATATTTTATTTTTACGCCTCTTTGCGCCTGTGACCTCTTGATCCGTACACGTACGAATCTGCCCACCTTTGAGAAATGCTCAAGAAGATCGTCGGTTTTTCCGTGGAATATATTTTTGACGGTGATATAGAGGAGCAAATGAAAAATATCGACCTTACGCGTTTCCGGCGTGTGGCTTATACTCTGAATATATTACCACGCTCAAACACACACCCACTCCACCCCCCCCCCCCCCACACCACACACACACACACATGTATGAATATGGAATGTCCGCAAGATTTGGCTACTGACTTGATATTCCTCCTATTCGTTCCTTTCTCTCGCCAACAATCTTGTCGCGTGATTCAGAATTCTCGCTAAGTGAGTGCGACTCATACGATTTTCATATAATAGTAGCCGACCATCAATTACAATTTCATAATGTATTAATTTTTTATTACTATTATTATTTATTCGTGTTAATCGGGTTTCTTATGAGTTTAAATTTAATCAAGCACACGTTCAGCGTAAATTTTAAAAGTTTTATTTTTATTCTGAATTCTTTCGCCGGGAAAATTCTTTTGCGATCACAATTAAGTTGAAAAAGGTAATACGTGTAATATTCATCAAAGGCATTTATTTTTTTGTATCCATCCAAGCGTTGTTTATATAATTTGTTCTATCGTTTACTTTTACGGAACAACCTTTGGTACAGCGGCCCTTTCATCTCTATTTATTTTTTAAATTGTACAGAAACATCGTTTCTCTCGTTCGCACAGAAATGCTACATCAAAATTTCACGTAATAACTCATTGTGGATGTTATGATATCGTAAAAAATTCAAACAATACGTAACGTAATTCTTTAGGTAGCCTGAAACTTGGAGGCAACTTTTAGTGTTGGTTGGTTGTGGGGCAGAAAAGCTCCGACGTAATGAGCGGCAAAGGAAAAGTTTAATAACCGCTTTTAAGCGACAACGGGAGTGCAGCAAGAATAATTGACGCAAAACCGGCCAGCAATGGTCTTCGTGTTATGATTTATGCTTCGTCGAGAACACACCAGCCAACTCCACGAGCTGTATTCGTGCGGTATTACCGTCACAATTTTACCGGCCATTAGCCCTATGTATGATATATATGATGCATCCCTTTACGGTTCACCACTTTATTAACACCTCGACCGTCGCATCAAAGTATCGAATACGAGTGGTATTTGTTCTTTCTCGATACTTATATTGCTTGGATAGCGATCTCACTTTTTCATTTATTTCACATTTATACTTGTACATCATTATAATGTAAATTGAGAAAGTTTTCTTAACTAGAACGGTTAAAAGCATGCAATCCTTTGCGAGAATTAAGATAAAAGTTGAAAAGATTTTTACAATTAAGATTTTTTTGTGTTAAAACTATGTTAAATTAAAATAATATTTTATAACTTACTTTTTGCATCTTCTGCTACTATGAAAACTTTTAAGAATTTAAATTGAAACAAAAGAGGAACTTATATTTCATATTTCAGATTTTAAAATTGACATTTCTTGAGAAATTCTTGAGATATTGTAAATATCAGTTTAGAAAATATAATTAAAATAAAAAACAAATTAATTTTTATAACTAATTTAATATTTTGATTAATATTGTTTATATTTATAATTATATATTAATATAAAGTATTAAATTAGATATATTTTATTGTAAAATTTTCATAATAATTCTGGACATTTTGCAACAATCATAAAGATCATAAAGATTTTGTTATATATCTTCATTATTATTCTTTTTAAATAGGAAAAGTTAAACAAATTTTATAGACCAATATTTTAGTCTATCAACATTTTTGAAAAAGTTGATAAAATAAAACAGGTATGATAAATATAATTATTCAAGTTTATTATTTACTTATGCATTTATACGTGGAATAAGAAAAACAAAATATTGCAAAATGTAAATTCAAATAAGCACATTTTTTTGATAATATTTATTTGTTTTTCTAATTATTTTCATAAAAGTGAAATATTAGATATGAATTATGATATGAAACAAAGACAATATATTACTTAAAACGACATAAGTATAAAAAAAAGAATGATAACATGTACATTTTCTTTTTACAGGGAACCGTCCAATAGAAATTCTCTTCTCGCCCAGACGCCCCTAAGGCAATTGGTTACGGGTAAGTCTCTAAGTGACAATTTTTTTGTGCTGCTTGACTCATAAAGCCAATTGCTCAGTAACAATAAAAGTATCAAGCTTTTACGATCCGTATTTGTGCAAATAAGAAATTCCGCTTTTACATGCAAATTTTCTTGAGACCTTCTTGAGAGAATTTATTTTGCTTAAAATAAAGAAAAATTTATTTTAGAAATAAAATATTCCTCTGTATAAGATAAACTAAAAACGTATACACCATGTTGTTTAGTTAAAATAATAAATAATACGATAATAATAATAATAATAATAATAATAAACGACTTGACAGAATGACAAAATAATAATAATAATAAACAAGTTAACAAAACGATAAAATTATTTTTGAGATAGAATGTGTGATTATTCAGGGCGAAAATCATTAAATCCGGAGATCACGCGAATAAAATTAATTACGGTACACAGCGAAGATAACGATATGCTAATTCGTACGTAAGAACGACGAGTTCCATATAACGCAAAGCCCCCCCCGTAATTGCGAACGCGACGACAATACGTCGTGTTGTAACGAGCCGAGTTACGGCAATAACCGGCGCGAACGGCGCCAATTAATTTATTATAACAATTCTACCTTTCAGTTGGTAAACAATACCGACGACGCAACGAATTATGCGCTATGAGATTAACCGTGTCTCGGCGTGTGCGTTTGCATCCGTGTTTGCCTGCCTGCGTATGAGTCTGACGCCTATAATAATTCCGAAGTAACGTTAATTAATTTATTACTGATCGAAATGTGAAATTGCAGCAAAACCGAAATCATTCTCGAGTAAATCCTCGAGTTACCTCAATGCGATTGAGAAGCTCTTCGGAATTGCTGAATTAAATCGTCTATTAGAGAATTTCTATTTTTTTTAAATATATATATATATATATTCGTAAAATTGAATGTTGTGTACGTTGGATAGGATATATATATATATATATATATATATATATATATATATTATACATACACAAATAACATACACACACATTTCGTTATCCTTTTAGATCGTAACATACAGTGTTCAATCACATCGGAAATCAGAAAGACTTCACATGCGATCTGCGCTATTTAATGTTTAAGTGCTGGTACAAAGGTGTGGAATCATTCGTATGAAAAAGTATAAATATACTTCTAAAAATCCGCAAAAGATCATCATCTGTCATAATTGAAAAAACAAAAAAACTTCTGTGAATCTTTGTAGGAAATAGAAGCGCCTTAAATTTGTACTTTTAAAAATGGAGAAGACGCGATCTCCATTTTCTGTTGAGATTACGCGTTGCATGAGCTCCACGGTGAGCTCTGTGATTTCCATTTTTTAAATATGTATTTCAGAACGGTTCGGAAATAAGTCCCTCAATTTTCTTGCGAATAAACTCACGGCAAAGCAAAATCGAGTAAAACGACGTCGAATAAAAGAGTAAACACACGTATTATAAACCCCGCACAA